CGCCTGTCAATGCCGGCGCTTTGCTTCCCACGGGTTCTAATATATAAATGAACATGCGATGAACGATAGCAAAATCATTATTTGTTTCACAGGGACAGGGGACCCTTCTTCATTTAACAGAGTTATAAAACCAATAGAATCAAATCATATGATCCGTGTTAATCTTAGAATAATGGACATAACTTATAATTTTATAAAAGATTAAAAGTCAAAATATAAAGATTAAAAAATTATAATAAAAGTATAACATATATTTAAATTATGCTATTAATTTCGAAATTGAAATGATTAAAAATAAAAATTTGTTAAATTTAAAAAAGGAATTTTAATTTACCTAAACGAAGGTACTGGATAGCCCTGCGCAGGACAAAAGTGCACAACAGTGGAAGTAGCTTTGCTCTCCATAAAACCTCCTTTCAAAATGCCCGTCAACGTCGGCGCTTTGCTTCCGACTGGCTCTAACAATTTATAGACAGACACCAGCATGCCATGAAAATCATCTATTACTCCAACTTTATGAGTTTAATAGATTGTAATGTGCATGTATACCTATACGATGGAACAGGGAACCCTTGCGCGGGACAAAATAGAGTCAGATCATCCCCTCGAACGCGATGGTACCACGCTAGCTTTGCATCGTTAGAGAACTTCGGCTTCTTTGTGGCGACCGGTTCTGATTACATGACAGGGAATAAAGTAAAACGATCCACACATGTGTTGTTGCGAGAATCTATTGTTCCATCTACGACTTTAGTATTTGCGCGTATATATACCTATATGTTGGAACTGGGAACCCCTGGGCGGGACAGAACAAGGTCAGATCATCTCCACGAACACGATCGTACCAGGCTTTTTTTGCATCGCTCGAAAATTTCGGCTTCTTCGTAGCGACTGGTTCTAATTATACGACGAAAAATAAAATGAAACTCTCTTCGCATGCTGTGCGAGAATTATGTATTGCTCTAACTATGATTCTAATATTTCTATGTACCTATATGATGGAACTGGGAACCCCTGTGCGGGACACAGCAGGGTCAGATCATCCCCTCGAACACGCTCGTATCCAGAAAATTTTGCATCGCTCGAAAATTTTGGCTTTTTCGTAGCTACTGGTTCTGGTTACATGATAGAGAATGAAATGATATATTTTCGAATATTTTTTTTTCCTCGCTGTGTGAGAACCATATATTGTTCTATTGCAGAGTTTACAGAAAATTTATACATGTACCTATAAGTAGGAACTGGGAACCCCTGAGCGGGACACGACAGGGTTAAATTGTTTCCTCGAACGCGATCGTACCAAGCCAGCTTCGATTCACTCGAGAACTTTGGCTTCTTCGTGGCGACTGGTTCTAATTACACCAGAAGAGAGTATGAGATAACATAACTACATCAAATTCCAGTACGTTTTAAAAGCAAGGAAACTCGATTAATTATATTCGGAATTGTTAGTCTGTTATTACTAACAGTATTACGAAAATATACTACAAAAGCAAATATTACAGTTTGAAATTCTCAATCATAACGCAATTATCTGGTACCTGGTTACAGGAACAGGATGCCCCTGCGCGTTACACAGCATACTGGTTTCCGAACCACGATTACGAACGATAGAAAACGTTTTAACGTCTCCGATAAATGCGGGCGCCTTGATGCCCATCGGTTCTAAATAAGAGAACAAAAGAATTGACGTCACGCGCCGCAAAAGATGTGTATGTTTTATGTGATTGAATACCCTCAGACAGGGTTCCCCTCATCGACTTTTTTCGCGCGAAATTATCTCGTGAAAGATACGAGGAAAAATCACAATTAAATTGCTTCCACTGTGAGCAATAATTAAATATAATGTTATAAATAATATAAAAATGCGAGATATTTAAAAGACTTAAATTATTCCTTTATAAAAAATTAAAATAAAGGAATTTTAAACGTCTTTTAAATAACATTTTTATTTTTTCGCTGCGTATTTATGTTAGAATAGTTTGTGTAGAATAATTCTACAGCATATATCATCATTGCTTGTGAGATTTCGATGCTTTGAATTCTTATTAAATGTCGTACCTACACACGGGAGGAGGATGGCCTTGGGCATTGCACGGAAGACTGATTTCTGCGTTCGCTTTTCGTGCCAATAGGGATATCTTTGCTTCACCAGCAAAGGCAGGCGCCTTGCTTCCGACAGGCTCTAAAGAATATCGACTTGTCATTACTCCGAAACTAATTTTCATTCATGCATTCAAAGCGGGGACAGGGCTTCCTCTTGCACAATGAATTATTACACGCGATGCATTATAAAATTCATTTTTTAACAGAAAGACTGCATTTTTAATTATGATTTTCCTCTCTTTTATAAGATTAAAATGTAGATGCCTCTTTTCTTTAAAAGTAAAAGTACTGCCGTAAATAATATGTATAATTACTTTTGATAACACTCTCTCCTTATTAATTATTAATATTGAATTTCGTACCTAGATATTGGAGGAGGATGGCCCTGCGCGTTACAAGGCAAACTAACATCCGTGTTCGCCTTTCGCACCAATAGAGACAACTTTGCATCGCCCGCAAAAGCGGGTGCTTTGCTGCCAACGGGCTCTAAAGAATGTTAATTCATGTATAGGAAGCTATATGTTCTGTTTACACTTAGCGGGAACAGAGTTTCCCCTTAAAAACGAAACTCGACCTCAGTCAATCAATATATAAATTGGCTCTATTTCTTTCAATTTTTGTCGATGCTTTATTTATTTTTTTATATATTAAATCAGCCTTTGTCAATCACGAAACTAAAAGCTATTACCTAGTAGTTGGCACAGGACTTCCCTGAGCAGCGCAGAAAATACTAATGGGTTGTCCTTCATATCTTCCGATCGTACGACTTAAATCATCCGACGTTAATCTCGGCGACCTGGCACCTATCGGTTCTGAAAGCGATGGAAATTGGATCGCGAGGAGCGTAAGAATCTCCTTACGAGAGATTACCTGGCAGTTGGAATAGGAAATCCCTGAGCGTTGCAGGCAAGCACCACGTCCGTACCCATACGTCTAGGATACGCTCTAGAAGTATCGTCAGTAGAGAAGATCGGCGACTTAAACCCGACCGGTTCTACGAGAAACAACGTGACGGAACGATCAATCGCTCGTGGCAACTCATGACGACAATAATGTAGGCACGCGAAAATTATCATTCGACAAGAAATATTAATTAATCGATCAAAATGTCTCCGGCGACGCAAGAAATATTTCAAATTTGAAATTTAATGTCGGATGTATAATTCGACTTGTTTTAGTATAATTATAAAGAGTATCGACGAAATATATTCGCGTCTCACCTCGAAATGGGAACAGGGTAACCTTGCACCGGGCACATCAGATTCACCGCATCGTGCGATTTAGTCTCCATGAAGTCAACTTTTCGTACACTCGGTAATTTAGGTTTTGCGCTCGACGTGGGTTCTAAGAGGCGTACGAGAACGAGAAGCATTGTTAAGCACGAAAACTATTATTACTGACCGCGTAATGGGGACAGGGAACCCTTGAGCTGGGCAAGTCATCGACACCGCGGTAGAACTCGGTGTCGGCCTCACCACTTTTATGTCAGCATTTGTGAACTTTGGTTTTGCGCTGGACACCGGTTCTATATTGAAGAAACGTTAGAATGTCAAACGTGTGTCGATACCGCATGACGCGTTTCACGAATGCTGAGACTGGGTATCCCGAAAAAGAATCGGAGGCAGAGCTAAGTAAAATTGCATTTCAAATATAACATTATATTGAATGTCATTTTAAAATAGAGAATAAAAACGTAATTATTATTATAAAATATATAATAAAATATTTTACTTCAAATATGAGCTAATAAAACAAAATTATTCTCAAAAATTTTATTCGAAATGCAAAGTGCAATGTATAGTATTTTATAATTCAAATGTTTATCTAAACTACGTGGGTGTATCTGAAATCCGGTCCTAGATTAAGATAAAAAATGACAGTTAAATTTCTACGCTAATAAAAAGTCAAAAAGAGATCACGTAGGATAATTAAACGGAACTTGAATGCTTGAATAACAAAGACGCCGGAATTAAGCCGGAAGGAAAAATCGATAGCTGCCCTTTAACATCCACTTTCTCTCGCGTTTACTCTATCACTCTCTGCATCGTGACCGCGCATCAAACGATATATATTCATTGATATAATCTCTATACGTTTGATATACCTGTAGCTCGGCACGGGGAATGCTTGAGCTGGACATGGCAAAGTTAACGGATGATCATTTTGCACTGTGTACGTCGTGTAGGTGCGAGAATTTTCTGTCATTGGAAATTTCGGTTTCGTACTGGCAACCGGTTCTACAAAAAAGGAACGAGATTTACGAAGATACAATAATTATTACGTATAAAAAATAAAAGAAAAAATTCTATCTATTCACACTCAAGATCGATTATTGCGATATCTAAAAATAATCTAGAGAATTGTAAATTATCACTCAATTGATGATTTGACTAAATGACAATTACCGCAAACCGGACAATCTTGTTTCCTTCTATTTTAATGTTTAATAAATGCCAGACACCGGGACAAGGTAACTCCGTATTGATAATCAAATGCGCTATATCGACTATCCAGTGCTCGGCAACCATCGTGAAACATTGGGGAGAATAATTACTTGCCATGACGTGTCCTCAATGAATTCACCTACCACAGGCGCGATCAAAGACAGACCGTCCTGAAGCAGATGGCGAGGATAGCTCTGATTAATATAAAGTTAAGGAGCAATTTACCTGAATGCCGGTACGGGAAACCCTTGAACGGGGCACAATAAAGTCGCGACGGAGCCCAATATCGCATTCGGATTTGTCGATTTCACGTCCAGCGCCGTTAATTTCGGTTTTGAGCTCGACAATGGTTCTACAGGTCACATCAAAAATACACACGAGCAAAAATCAAATTTCGCCGAAGAAAACCGAATCCTCTCCCGCGCGTTTTACATTCACAAACTTACGTACTTGAAGACTGGGACAGGATACGCCTGAGCAGGACATTGCAGTGTCAGACCTCTGTTTTCCGCGATCTCGAATGTACGGCTTTTATCAATAGTCGAGAACTTGGGCTTCGCGAAGCCGACTGGTTCTACAAATTAAACTTGCAATCAAGAGCAAAGTCGATGCATTGATCTCGTTAATTGATAACGATATCTATTAAAATATTTATTGTTAGTATTAAATAAAAAAAAAAATTTTTCTAGAAATATAAATTAAAATAAAACCATAATATTATTAAAAATTAATTTAGAAATAAATTGATTATTAAATTTTAAACAATATAAATTTATATAAAAATTAATCTCTGAGATGAGTTAAAAACTGAGATAAATTACAGACTTCGTTTTTGTGCAAGAAATCGATACTGGGACAGAGTAGCAGCCTTAGGAAGAAGAAACTCTCGGACACTTCCCCTCGTCATTCTCTTTTTTCTACGACAATACACGCGAGATCGACCAATACATCGACCTACCTATAGGTAGCGACCGGAAATGCTTGAGCCGGGCATAGCAACGTAAAGCCCGTGCCTTTTGTAATGCGCAATCCAACGTCGTTTACAGATGGAAACTGAGGCTTAGTGCTCGATGCGGGTTCTAAAAACAGAACGCTAGACAGTCCGATATGCACAAAGTGGCGCCAGGTTATTCTAGATGCTGGAATAGGATTTGCCCCTTTCATCAACACCGATAAACGTTAGGTTTCGCATTTCGATAACGAGCCAAGAGTAATCGAGTCTAATCGAATTAAACTATCGTATGAAGAAGAGAACAGCAATACACTAATGTGCGAAAATTGTCCAATTGCATAGTCGAATAAAACCAAAATCTTTGAAAAATTATATCAAAAATATGTAACTCGATAAAACAATGTTATTGTTGTCGAGTGCCACTAACATGTAAAAATATGAATATTTTATTTTATGAAATAAAATAAAATAAAAATAAAATTGAAAAAATAATTAATAACCTTACGGACGCCTACCTATAGAAAGGTACCGGAAATCCTTGAGCAGGACAAAGCAAAGTAACGCTTCTATGCGAAGAAACGCTAAATCGCTGAAGATCACTCGAGCCGGATAATTGTGGGCGCGCGTGCGACGCTGGTTCTGGATATAAAAAAATTATCTTTCGCGATAGAACACATAGAGAAGTCTTTACCTGTACGATGGAACGGGGAACCCTTGGGCAGGACACATCAATGTCATTGCACCGCCGAGATATACTTTGAACGTCTGCGAATCCGCCAGCGACGGAAATTTCGGACGAGCACTTGCGATTGGTTCTACGGAAGTTTCAAGATGCCGAAGAAACATCGATAAACACGGCATTTACTTTCTGCTATTTATATCTTATCCATTATAAAGATATAGACTGAATTAGAATATAATTGTAAATTATAGCGCGAATTAATTTACAGTTGAACTAAACTTACAGTTCAACTCTAAATAATTGATAACGACGATCTTTTAATAAATATAAGTACGATTAATATTTTTATAATTATTTATGTTGCACTTTAAATGTATTGTGCATATAATAAATATATGGATATATTTATACATTGATTATTAAAGAAATTGCAAGAGATCGAAAAAGAAGAAAAGAGAACAACGTATGTACATATATATTCGTCCGCAATTTCCTCCTCATTCTTTCGCATTGCGGTCGTGCACCAACTGGATTATGGTCGCACTATATACGCATACTACTTTCTTATAATATAGACGCTTTGTATACCTGAAGGCTGGTACGGGGAAGGCCTGTGCCGGACACATGAGAGTCAGCGACCGATCGCAGTGAACTGTGTACGTACGCGAGTTCTCTGTCATCGGAAATTTCGGTTTTGTGCTGGCGACTGGTTCTATAAGAAAGCGAAAGAAAGCACGAGCGTACAACGCGACTCTATTAATCGCCGCAACTATAAAGCGTCAACCTTTGAAATCGGCAAAATTTCTAAAAATTTTATCTCCAATTTAAATTGTTATAAAACTGATTGCTGAGACAGGTCATATTAATATTTTATACATTCTAGATTACATATTATTAATCAATAGACTAATATTTTTAGATAAAATTACTTTTAAAAAAATTTATAATAAAATATAAACATATTTATGTGGATTTCACAGAAAATAATCGCGATTTTAATTCCATCGTCGCTCGCGTATTTCTGTCGCTTTCGCGTTATGGTTTTATATTCTTTATTCGCAAAAATCTAAATATATCGTGATATAACCTTGTCCCACCTATGCGACGGAACGGGAAACCCTTGAGCAGGACAGGGTAGAGTCAAAGTGTCTCCTTGACGTGAGATAAATCCACGTGAGTTATCCATTGTTGGAAATTTTGGACGTACGCTCCCTACGGGTTCTAAAAAGACCGAGTGTGAATGGAAACGTGTCAGAAACGTGCTGAGAACACCACAATGATTCATTTATATATGCCAGGGGACAGGGAATCCCTTGAACACACTGAAGTAGTTGAAAGAGAATAACGAGCTCGACGTTCGTTATTTATGCAGATGTTCGCGACCCAGACATGTTATACATTTTTTCATGCCATAATTTAATATTTCTTAAATATCAGGAATTATAAAAGAATGCCTAGTGCTCTTTTTTCCGCAAAATGCGTTATTCTAAGAATTTGCAAAACTATACATTTTAAACCGACTCGGGTCCGAAATTTATCCTACCTATAAGACGGAACCGGAAATCCTTGCGCAGGGCAGAAAAGCGGCAAGCTTCCGTTGATCCTCGTCCCGAGCCCAATCAAGTTGATGGTACTCGAAAGTTTTGGACGTGCGCTTGCTACGGGCTCTGTCAGTCGCAGCCCGAGGAAAGAAGAGGACAATTATGAGAGGAAACAACGATGAAACGAATCGCGAACTTCGACTTACTTGTGAATCGGGACAGGGAACCCTTGAGCGGGACACAACAAAGTTGCAGATCCATCTTTGATCATGCGAAATCCTCTGATGTCGTCTATCGTCGGAAATTTTGGTTTCACGCTGCCGACCGGCTCTAAACATTATTTCAATCAAATATATACTCTATTTTTAGAATATCGTACAAATGCAAGATGACGGGGAACCCTAAAGCTCCTTAAAGAAGCTTCCAAATTTTCCGAGATGATCATGAAAGATAACATGACACGATTTTATCTTTCGGCGCTGCGACGATTTCTCTATGTACGAATAGTTTCGTCTCATATTTAGTGTAAAAATAAAACATCTTTCTTTCTGTCTTTCTCTTTCTCTAATTATTATATTATAAAAATATTATAATATAATTAAATTTTTATAAATAAAAAAATATATTAAAACAGAAAGAATAGAATTATAAATAAAATTATTCAATGCATTTACATATAGATTTATATAATTTCTTAAAAGCCACATTAAATAGAAACTATATTGTTAATTAAGAAAAGATGTAATGTGAAACGAAAATCATCGTATATAAGTGCTATATAATTACTAGAATTACCAGCTTCACCGCAAGTACAGAATATTTAATCGCAATTTCTAAATGGAGAACCAAGACTCGCTTTAAGAGACTCTAGTGACACTAAGGCATCTAATGATATAATACCTATATGACGGAACTGGAAAGCCCTGAGCAGGGCACAGGAGTGGCAAAGTTCCGTTCGTGGATGTGACGAGACCGTTTATGTTGCTGATGCTGGGGAATTTCGGGCGCACGCTTCCCATGGGTTCTGTCATGTTATAGCGATCCAGGTAGAAGAAAGAAAGGAAAAAAAAACAATGATTTCTGCGTCCCGAGCGACTTACTTGTACAAGGGAAGAGGGAACCCCTGAGCAGGGCACAGCAACGTAACCGAGCCGTCCTTCGTCGTGCGAAAACTTCTTGAGTCGTCGATCGTCGGAAATTGGGCCTCACGCTGCCGATCGGCTCTGATCATATCGTTTATAATTGGGACTTGCGCGGCGCGAACGGTCATCCCGAAGGACTCGCGTTCTGTTATGGTCTCTACCTGTACAGGGGAACAGGGAACCCCTGTGCCGGGCATATCAGGACCTGGGAGCCTCCAACGTGCGTCCGGGTGCCACGTATGTCATCTGTCGACGGAATCTTTGGGCGTACGCTGCCCACCGGTTCTAAAAAGCACGTCGTTTTTGTTTTTGCATCTCCTACTTGCAACTTTGATATAAATACGAATTTACCCTTTCCGAATAATTAATTAATTGCAACCAATTTTCGTATCTTACAGATAATATGATTAAATATTTTCATTAAATCAGTGAGAAGGAACAGGGAACCCCTATGCTAGATACACACGCTATCTTGAAAAATATTTTGCAAAGAGACATGCTATAATAATATTTATATATGTAAATATAAAAATGTTATTCATATAAATTAAAAACATCTAATTTATATAAATTTCCTAAGTTATTTTCTCTAATTCTGTGTATATTGATATACATTTAAATAAAATCTCGTTTAATAATAAAAGTCTAATTAAAATCAGAGTATAATATATCGGGACCATTTAGTTTAATAAAAAAATGTTATCCTTAATATAATACAATTATAATTTTATTATTATTAAGCAGGAACAATTAATAATCTGTTTTTTCAATTTTAATTAATCCGATATTATATATGTATATTTATATCCTGTGTCCATTTCATTATTACTTACAGTATAAATAATTCGTATTCGTAAAAAAGTATTTAATTTTTCATCATTTCGTCATTAAGCAATTTATATATAAAAATATATATAAATTCTATAGCAAATATTAATGCAAGTAGTTTCGTGTAAAAATAGTTTGAATTTTCCTTGTGTACAGGAAATCCTTGAGAAGCGCACAAAAGCCGTCTATTGCCTTCCAAGTCTACGGAAAATCCGTTTAAGCTGTCTGTACTAGAAAAGTTTGATCGTATGGGTTCTGCATAACGAAAAACCAGGAGAGTCGTGTCAAGCTCTTGCCAAGCCCGCCCTATTCGTTCTACTAATCAGCCATTATTACGGCTATATTGCATCTTGCTCTAGTTAGCTTCTAAATTGTTGCATCGCGCGCCGTCAATGGCTCGACAAGTTTGCTTGCGCGGCTCGCCTCGTACGAACAAAGCGATTCGCTTATCGATGTCATCCTGCCGATTATCCTAATATTCAATAGCTATGCGAGAGTGGCGAAGCGAAAGTGATTTTGCATTCAATGTCGCATTGCAATGCGGAGAGTCCTTTGGAGTATGTTAAAGAGAATTACTTGGCTTTTGATTAACTGAATTACAGGGTATGATAAATCGTTGAGTTAAATATATATAAAATCACGAATAAGGTATAATTAAAAATAAATATTTATATGTTTTCACTTCCATGTGCAATTAAGGTAGAGTTTATAATTTTCATAAAAAAATTGCAAAGTAAAAAGTGCAGCGATATTTCTCATATTTTGAACAAGGGGAGACATAGCTGATACCACTGTCGCATTTAAAGGTTTAAATATTGCTAATTTGCTGTAAAGACAAATAATGATTCGATCGATTTCACCTAATTAGCAGGACAGAACGCAAGCTCAGCTGCGTTCAGTGCCACGTTTATTGAACGTCCATACGCTGAAGTTCTCGGCTGAAAAAACATGTTCCGTAAACTTACCACGCGAGAGCGAAGGACAGAGCCCGGAGATCGCGGAAGGCGCCGCGGAGCGTCGAAAGAATTTTCGCAAACCCAAATCATATATATATATATACATGGTTCTTCTTTTTTTTCATTTATCTTTCTTCAAACAATTATTATTCTCGAAACCGATCATGCCAAGAGTCGAGTTTTGGGCGAGGCGGTGGCGCGTGCCCGCAGGGGTACCCTGTCCCAGCATTCAGGTTCACCCGCGAGCTTGATCGTGCTAAATGTCAAATATATGTTTCGACTTCTTTAAAATTTTCTAAAGTTCAAAGGCTGATGTAAACGTAGCCTTTTTTAACAATTGACCTTTCGTGATTTCGAAGAAACCGAGTCGATCAAGCTCGTTGGCCCAAACGTTCATTGAACGTGATTATAGATCCAAAGAGACAACCGACTTTCCAACAATATGAAAATATTTTGTACAATGATAAAATTAACATAGATTAAATAATGATCTTGCTTAAAATATCAACCTTAAATGTAAAAGTCTTCTTATAGAAAATCAATTGTCTCCTGGATGATAGTTCCGAACCCAGACACCTCGCAATGATGAATAATTTATATTAAAGCATTAAAAAGATAATATTTCAAAATTTTCTGAATGTATAAGAGATATATTAGAACTAATACATTTAATATAATATTATAAATTTGTCATATAATATTTTAAGTTTTCGTATTTATGTACGTTAAATCGATAGATAATTGAATCGTTACGCGACAATAATCTCATTTAAAAAGAAATAGATTTTATAATTAAAAATTATTTTTTATAATTAAAAATATTTGTTCTACATAAAATAGCACTGCAATTAAGTTAAAAGTATGTAATTATGGTATCCAGGTCCGAAACTAGAAATACGATTCTGATTTCGTTTGAAAAATAAATACGAAACGTTAATTAATAAAACTGTTATAAACCCTTCCAACATCGAAGGACATTATCGAGAAACATTTTTAAACAGATTGATGCTGCATCAGAATCGTAATTTCCGTATAAAAGAAATAAGACACTTTTGTATTTTGACTCACCAGTAATGACGAGACGTCCCTTCGTAGCGGATAGTCTAGTTTCGCCTGTGAGTCTGTGTTTCGTGCGACATTGGTAAGTCTTGTATCCATCTTCGGGTCCGACGTCCCTGATGTGCAATTCTCCGGATGGTAGCACCAAGTACTTTCCATCTAAACCCGTTCAAAATCGCACACGTTAGTCATTGCACATTAGTCTCACTCTTACGTGACTCGTCAGGATAATCGATCAGCTGATTACCGCGTTTGATATAGCACAATGTCAATGTTAATTGATTATCTGTTTAATTATGTATGCATATTTATTATCATATAGCACCAAGGAAAAATCGATTATCCTGACGTGTACGATACAATCGCACGATGCTCGAACAAATACAAAGATATAAAATTGTGAGATCTGTAGTTCGAGCATAATGCTGTCTTGATTAATAACCATGCAATATCCTTCGTCGAACGTTGAATCGTCACGGACCCTTCGTCAATTTCCCATTTCAACATTCGACGAATAAGAATTCGAAGAATAAGAATTCTTTACGAAATCCAAGCACGTTCACCAAACAACAAGTATGAGAATCTTGCGTCGCATAAGAAAGATATGCGAAATCACGCTATTATTTCTTTGTAAGTGAAAATACACGACGCGCAACATTCTCGTACTCATTGAAGCATCCAGGAAATCTGTTCCTTGTGTTTGTTATAATAAAAATGAAGACGGTATAAGATAGCACATTTACATTTCATTCTACGTAAAAAAATCTATAAAATTTATTAGCAATATAGATATAATTAATAAACGTTTTTAAAGACGTTTTCACATTATTTCATCATTAAATCTCCTCAGTAGTTAAATTAATAAATATCTACGTATACAGTAACATTTAACGCAAATTATCTTCACCCTTATAAACGAGATACAGCGAAACGTTTGTTAACCCATTAAAGTTATTCTCTATATTGTGGTTGAAACTGTGCAGTTTCAACACCTTTAACGAATCTGATCGCTTTTGCGGCCAACTCTCATTGGCAAACGAGACTTCCTGGATAGGCGAACTAGTTACATGCAATCATACACAAGCGGTATCCATAACCATTTAGCTACTACTATCACACATAGAGAAGGACACAGGTGAGAAGAGACGGATGGACCGATCGAATGACCGGAAAAAAAATCGGCGGAAAGGAGGGAAAGAGAGGGAGTCTGGAACAGCGCGAGCAGCGGCAGTCAACGTCGTATAAATTTTTTATATATAGAATCCCGCATTGCACGGCAGTTTTGAAACGAGGGACGTCCGATTGCAAATGGAAACATATATCTTGCAGTTTGCACGCGTGTCGTGATACAATAGCGTGGTTCGATTGGTTACTTGGTCGATAGAGCGGAGGCCGATGGAACGATTTAGACGACCTGGATTTATATTTCTGCCACTTGGCAACTAAGTTATTGTCGACCGAAAACAAATTCGTTTCTTCTCCTTTGCCATTCTCTCTTTCCCTATTGTTTGCGTTTCCATGTTAAAATTTGTATGAAATTATCGTGTTGCAGATCTTGCAATTGAAGGTCGCATAGTTATTTATCACGGCCGAGCCGAGAATAATTTTTGCATAAATACGAAAGCGATCGTCAAGCGGAGTATCATTATGGATGATGATCGGACGACTCATGAGAGAATCCTTGAACCACATTGCGGTATACTAATAGCTTACCGAGCACCGTAATTTCGAGTTTACCGAATGCTCGAAATGCATCGCTCTCACAGAACGAATAATGCGAAAAAAAGAACAGTTATTTTACCGTAATACGAATGTATAAGAAAGAAGTAGAGATACTTCAGGAATATTATCTCACAAAATAATAGAATAACATAAATGAGAAGAAATACAGAATAGAATATAATTCTATTCATAGGACACATTCCATGCGGTTATCTTTCGATAATTTTTTACGGAATGTGACAATTTTGCGGATGTACCAATTTTGCAGATTGCGAGCATTTTAGAAATGGAAGAGTCACGCGACGTTCGAGCAGAATGAGGATGACATGAAATGTGCATGAAATTATGCATCGTGTACCGTAATCGGCGCTAGGATATATATCAGTAGTCTCGTCTTCGATCCAAGAGTCAACCTCGACGAATTCGGCGACGAAGCTCGGTATGTGACACTTGATAATTGCGGCGTTCCCCCGAAGGACGTGTTCGTCCATCACGTTCACTGCATACCGCTGCCCGACAACTGCAACCAGACACCGGTTTCCGGTTTTACCATAAGACGCAAATCTCCTATCAAGCAGGACATGTCGATCGTTCGTCGATTGGTGATTGCAGTAATAGCAAAAATTGAATAAAACTATGATCAAATATTGCAAATGACTAAATTTTCAGATTTGAAAATATTTCTTACTATTCTTAATCATAATTAATAATTTGTTATATTAATTAATCATTATTAGTAGCTGAATATTGTATATTCTAATTAGCTAAATATTTGTTCGAAGCCTAAGATTTTGTTTCTGATCTTATTTACATGTTTACGATATGTTTAACTGTATGCGAGTTCTTAAAAACTTTTATTTTAAATAACCTGATTTCAGTTTCAATTTATTATGCAATATTTCACAGTATTTTTTAGTTGAATTTGGATTATAAAAAAGTTGGCTTACATTTCGAAGATATATTGAGAAGTCAACATTTATTTATTATTTCGGAAAAGTCGGATCGAAAAATATTGTGCATAACGTTTATCATACTAATTCAAACGATTTATTAGCCGATAAAATATTGAATTTATTACACGCTTTAACGAATCCACTTAGAATGTTTATGTAGCGAGCAACGCTAATATTACGATATTTCGTATCACTACAAAATATTACGAAATAAAATTTATGCTAATAAATATCTTATTTATATCTGTGACAAAACCGGTTACCCACTTGCTAAATTAAGCATAAACATATTTTAATATATTATAATTATGTAATTAAACTGTACTGAAATTTATAATAAAAGTTGATGCTCGACAAATAATTTTGACATATAGTCTCTCAAATTTGTACATAATTATAACTATTTCCAATAACTCGATAAACTCCGTTCGATAAGATATATTATTATCAGCATTTTATTCACGTCATCGTCACCTGTCTGTGAATTAAAATAAATCCTGTCGCGGATAGCTATGAAGAATACATTCCTGCGTTTGTCAAAGAGAACTGGTCGCACTACCGGTCTTGAAATAGACACGATCGATATTCAACATTACAATTCATTGCATACATTCAATAAACAGGTTGCGCGTAGGTACATAACGCTAACAATATACTCGGGGACATATGATATCTCTCTCTGTTACATGCATTTTATATTAAACCAAATAAACATGTCGAGGAAAGGAGAAAAAGTGCGCGCAAAATGTTGAACAACTCAATAATTAAGCCAGTTCTCTTGTTTAGGGATCTGCGTCTTCTTCAAGAGGAACCTGTGTCCTTCCGGTTTGCAAAAAAAAAAAAAAAAAAAAAAAAAAAAAAAACGATACAATATGTGCATTTTTTAAATTTTGGACTACCATATGATTGTTCGGCGGCGACGTAACTGCCGCCGTTAGAATCGATCCATCCCACCACGTCCACGTGGTCGGCCACGAACGAAGGAACTTGACACTTGAAAATAGCTGCGTTGCCGCGTATCGCGAACTGATCGTAAACCTGAACCTCAAAGTACTGGGCGACCACTGCAATGAAGCGAGAGAAAAAAAGAGTTCGGCGTTTGTTCTAGTTGCAAGTGTCAAACCGGCGCGACGCGCGCTTTGATCTCCCCGATTAAAATTTCAATGAACCTGGCTGTCGGCAAACTGATTGCTGCTGCAGCTAGTTTCCGGTCGTGCCTCTATCAAGCGCAGCAAATCCCGATTGCACGATGGACACCGATCCGATTAATCCGATATAATCCAATTGCAGATTATGCCCACGAGTAAACTCGCGCTCTCATCTTCTAATTTCACGGCAATTTCATTCCGCGGATAAGAGACATACTGAAATATTGTAATCAAGAAAAGTAGTACGAGCGATTATTGAATGACTCATCTTTTAAAATAATAGCAATCAGATACCAAGTTTTATGCCTGATACTGTTCAAAATTATGTCATAATTTTTTTTTCATAAATTTTAATTTTTTAAAAGATTTTACTATTTTCGAAATATATAATAGACAATAATATTCGTAATTAGACAAGAAGGCGAGATTACAATTATTTACATCGCAGCATAATATAGGAACAAAATTTAATACATAATATTTGTCACATGTCTTATTAATTAATATCATATTTTCGGGTACTGACTATCGCGGCCGTAAAGTAAATTCGATTACGTTGCCGAGAATAACCCTTTAACGATCATCTTTTTCTATCCCTCTCTCTCTCGTTCTCTACCGAAAGTGGATCAAGCTGGTCGCGCGGGCGTTAATTTGCTTCACGGCCCGATTAATCCGGCTTAACCTAATCCAAGGATCACACTGAACGAAATCACTGTCAGCCGCATGCTCTGCCTCTGTTCACCCTTGCCGATCGTTGAATCGGAAAGGGCAAACTTTCCGAGCAAGATCCGCGTTCCACTCCATCAACCATGAACCCTCCTTTTCACTGAAAATGCGCGTCCTGCCGAACAACGTGAGTATGTGCGTCATATATGCACGAATGAACTGTCTCTACCCATCTGAGTACTATAGTAATTCAATTTGCAAGGTGGTTCATCGTGAAAGTAAATATATTGACAGGTTTTAAGGGCGCACAAAAATATTTTGAAAAAAAATGATTCATCCAGAAAAGGTGAATAACAAAAAATTGCAGAACAACTAATTTTAGGGTTGTACAGAATGAAAAATTATGTCGAAAAAATTAAAGCACCATTATCCCGTTATAATGTTAATTTCGTGTAACCGGCATAACGCTAAGTACCCTTTTCCTGCTGATTATTCGCGTTATACATGGAGCCATCCTCAGCCTGCCACTCAATCACATCTACGAAATCCGCCACAAAGCTGGGCACGAGGCACTTCAGAGTTGCCGCATTTCCGCGTAAGACAAACTCGTCGATGACCCTCGTCTCGTAGAATTGCTGGACCACTGCAATGCGCGAATTCTCGAAGAGAT